CTACTTGGAAGGCTGAGGCAGAAGGATCACCGGATCCCAGCAGGTCGAGGCTGCGGTGGCTGGGAGCGGCCACTGCACTCTAGTCTAGGTGACTGTGTGAGACTCCAACTCAAAAAAAAAAGAGCTCAGGCCAGGCTCGGTGGCTCAGCCTGTAATCCCGCGCCTTTAGGAGGCTGAGGTGAGTGGATTGCCTGAGCCCGTGGGTCCGAGACCCACCTGGGTAGCGAGACCTCATCTCTGTAATAAATCAAAAAATCAGCCGGGCTCGGTGGCTCAGCCTGTAATCCTGCGCCTTTGGGAGGCTGAGGTGAGTGGACTGCCTGAGCCCGCGGGTTCGAGACCCGCCTGGACAGCGAGACCTCATCTCTACAATAAATCAAAAAATCAGCCGGGCATCGTAGCGCATGCCTGTAATTCCGGCTACTCGGAAGGCTGAGGCGGAAGGATCACCGGAGCCCAGCAGGTCGAGGCTGCGGTGGCCGGGAGCGGCCACTGCACTCCAGTCTGGGCGACAGAGTGAGACTCCAATTCAAAAAAAAAAGGTCAGGTCTTATCACTGCCACCCATACCTCCCCTCCTTCCCCCACACTCACCTCCTCTGGGAGGCGGGCAGGTCAGGGAATAGCTAGGAGGAATGAGGAGGGGACAGGGACTGTCTGGGACCCCCCTCAGGGACAGGCCACCCCCCCAAAAGTGCCAGCCAAGGAGGCAGGAGGAGCTGAAACCCCCCTCAGCTAGCCAGGGTGTTCAGCCATATGTCCACCAGCAGGGGGCGCCTTCTGCAGCTTCCGCTAAGATACTGGTACAGCCCTAGGCCTGGTTGTGGCCGGGGGTGGTGAGGGACAGAGAGAGTCCCTGGGCATGTGGTCATGGGTGCTCAGGGTCTACTCCTCTCCCAGATGACCCCAAGGCACAGGAGGAAACAGAGACATCGTCAGCTCGCCCTGCCTCATTCGCTGTGTGACCTTAACTGGTGCCCTCACCCTCTCTGAGCCCTGCTCTTCCCAGTGGAAGACTATAGGCTCTGCGTGGTCTAGCTAAGGAGGACTGATAGGCCCCACGTGGTCTAGCTGAGGAGCTTGGAGGTGGCATGTGTGTGCCAAGGCCTTACAAAGAACGCCTTGTTCTCCCGCCAAGCTCACAGCCTGCTCCAGCAGGGGGTGGCCTTTGTAGGGAAATGCTCAGGGCAGGGGCTGGTGTGAGTGACAGGCCTTGTGGGACATCCTGCCAATGGCTGGCTCTTCAGTTTGTGTCTGCGTGAGCGTCGCCCACAGGTGCTGTTCCCACCTCCCCCTGCAGCCTGGGGGGTGGGGAATGGGGCACAGCAAGGGGTCCGAGCCAAGGCCCACCTGACCCGAGCCCCCCTCTGTCTGCCTCTGCCCCCAGCTCACGCTGCTGGTGGTCCAGGTCAGCATCCTCTACTACGGGGGCCACCTCGTCATCTCGGGCCAGATGACCAGTGGCAACCTCATCGCCTTCATCATCTACGAGTTTGTCCTGGGAGATTGTATGGAGGTGAGGGGGACCCGGGAGAAGGAGGGGTGTGAGGGAAGCGGGACTGCCCCAGGGGTGTCCCAGGCAAGAGGTAGAAGTAGGCGAGAAAACAACCATACCAAGGATGACGCTGCTGCTGCTGGGTGACAGCGACTGCGTTTGTCAAGCAGAGTGGCAGGGACATCGGCCATTCCAGGAGATGGTTGTAAGAGCTCCCCAAAAGGTTTAAGTCCTGTGGAAGTCCCCATTTCTCAGAAAGGGAAGCTGAGGTTCAGAGGTGGAGTGACGCCCACCACTGCAGAAAGCACAAGGTGGCCTTAGACTATGTCTAAATTCGGGGTTCCGCACAACCAGCTCCGGAGACGGGTGGGAGGTGATCCCAGGAAACGGGGGTGGATGGAAAGCGAGCCAGGGAAGGGCAGGAAGTCAGCACAGGGTGGTCATAGGCTGTGGAGCCAGTTTCCAGTGGGCTGCTGGGGCTCAATCCTTGGGGGGAAAGTGGAGGACACCAGCTCAGAGCCAGCCACCACAGGGCGAGGGAGCTGGGATGTTTATGCCCTAGCTGCCGTCAGTCACTGGGGGTGCTAGTTCTCTGGCCTGCCTACTCCCCTTAAAAGCCCTCGGACAGTTAGGGTTCTGCTCATCGAGGCTCAGGGTGTCGGTGGGGTGTCCACAGCATCTGCCACTGATGTACTTTGTTCCGAGAGTCACACCTGCGGTATTATTTGAATCAGTATTGACTCAGCCATAATTCTGCCTCTAGGAATCCAGGCTTCAAAAAAGCTCGCCCGCCAGGCACAGTGGCTCAGCCTGTAATCTCAGCACTTTGGGAGGCCAAGGCGAGAGGATTGCTTGAGCCCGGGGGTTTGAGACCAGCCTGGGCAACATGGTGAGACTTGTCTCTACAATAAATCAAAAAATCAGCCTGATGTGGTGGCATGCACTTGTAGTTCCAGCTACTTGGAAAGCTGAGGTGGAAGGGACTGCCAGAGCCCAGCAGGTCGATACTGGGGTGACTGTGAGCGTGCCACTGCACTCCAGCCTGGGCAACAGAGTGAGACCCCAACTCAAAAAAAAAAAACTCAATTATTTAATGATGTCTGTGCATGTACTAGTAAATGCACAGAGAAAAAGCTAGAAAGATACAGTATACTGATAACCATGGCCGCCTCTGGGATGAGGGTTATGTAGGACAACTTCTCACAGGACTAATATCTGAATGTGAATACTGTTGCCATAAGTAATAACATCTTGGTATTAATGGTAACAATCATAACTATGAGATTTTGAGTGTTTACCAAGCACCAAGCACTATCTTCATAGCAACAGGACATTGTTGCTAATATCACCCCATGTGGCAAAGAGCACATTCAGTGGTAGCACCCAGGTAGCTGAGGCTGAAGAATCTCTTGAGCCCAGGAGTCAGAGGCCAGCCTGGGCAACTTACCAAGATCTCATCTCTTTAAAAAAGAAAAAAATAGAGTCTTGCCTCAGGAGCCAGATGTGCCTGGATTTGAATCCTGGCTCTGCCACTTCCCTGCTTTGTGACCTGGGGCAAATTACTTGAACCCTCTGTACCTGAGTTTCCCCATCAGTAAAAAGGAGATAATGGTAGAACCTACCTGCTGACGCCTAGAAAGTGCTCAATAAAATGGGCCATTATCATGATTTGTATTTATATTGTTTGTATTTTTACCCAAGAAGAATGTTTTTATATGTAGTATACATTAAGACCTATTTTTAAAAATTGAAATAAGGCCAGGTGTGGTGGCTTACCTCTGTAATCCCAGTGCTTTGGGAGGCAGAGAGAGAAGGATTGCTTGAGGTCAGGAGTTCAAGAACAGACCAAGCAACATAACAAGACCCTGTCTCTATAAAAAATAAAAAATTAGCCAGGCATGATGGCGAGCACCTATAGGCTTAGCCACTCAGGAAACTGGGGCAGGAGGATGGCTTGAGCCCAGGAGTTGGAGGCTGCAGTGAGCTAAGAACACACTAGACATCAGGGTCTCACTCTTTTGCCCAGGCTGTAGTACAATGGCATGATCACAATGATCACAGCTCACTTCAGCCTTGACCTCCTGGGCTCAAGCGATCCTTCCACCTCAGCATCCCGAGTAGCTGGAACTACAGGCATGCACCACCACGCCCAGCTAATTTTTAAAAAATTTTTTGTAGAGACGAGGCTTTGCTATGTTGGCCAGGCTGGACTCAAACTCCTGGGGTCAAGCAATTCACCTACTTCGGCCTCCGAGAGTGCTGGGATTATAGGCGTGAGCCACTGCACCGGCCTCTCATTTTTCATTAATGTCACTATCTAATGCCCTAGTGGGCAGTGCCCCAGCAGCCTCCTGCGTCTCCCACAAAACTGCGGCTGTCTTTCTCTCTGTATCTGCCTCATCTCTCAAGTCCCGTGGGTGGGTCCCAGCAGTGGGGCATCAGTGGGACAGGAATGTGTGTCTTCTCCCCAGTCTGTGGGCTCCGTCTACAGCGGCCTGATGCAGGGAGTGGGAGCCGCCGAGAAGGTGTTCGAGTTCATTGACCGGAAGCCGACCATGGTGCATGACGGTAGCTTGGCACCCGATCACCTAGAGGGCCGGGTGGACTTTGAGAACGTGACCTTCACCTACCGCACTCGGCCCCACACCCAAGTCCTGCAGGTGAGAGGGGGTTTCAAGTCTGCCCAAATCTTCCTTTCCTTCACCCGGTTTCTTGTGCACCTCCTCGTGCCAGGCCATGCCATTGCAGTCAGGAACTTGTAAGGCAAGGGCCTTGTCCTCAAGGAATTTTGGGCTCTAGCTGGGAAAGATCCTTAACAGAAACAGTCCAGATAATACAGATAATAAGTGCTAGGAATCAAGTTTGAGTATACCTGTAACCCAAGCTACTTGAAAGGCTGAGGCAGGAGGATTGCTTGAGCCCAGGAGTTCAAGACCAGCCTAGGCAATGTAGTAACATCCCATCTCAATACTACTACTACTACTACTATTAATAATAATAATAATAATAAGTGCTAGGAGGCCAGGCACAGTACCTCACACATGTAACCCCAGCACTCTGGGAGGCCAAGACCAGAAGATCACTTGAGACCAGGAGTTTGAGACCAGACTGAGCAACATAGCAAGCCCTCATCTATATAAATGATAACAAAAAAATTTAGCCAGGTGGGATGGCATGTGCCTCTAGTCCCATCTACTTGGGAAACTGAGGTGGGAGGATCACTTGAGTCCAGGAGTTCGAGGCTGCAGTGAGCTATGATTCCAGCCTGGGCAACAGAGTGAAACCCTGTCTCTAAAAAAAATAATAAGTGCTAGGAATAAAATAAGTCAGGATGGGACAGTGGGGATAGTCTATGGGGTTGATGATAACAGTCAAGAAGAGCTTCTTGGAGGAGGTGACATTTGAACTGAGACCTGACCAGGTAGCTCCTCAGAAAGAACATTCCAGGCAGAGGAAACAGCAAACATAAAGGTGCAGCCTAGTGTCCTAGAAAGAAGAATTCACAGGAACCAGCAGTGCCCAACATAGGCAGGGGAGCTCGGGGGACTGGGACCAGAGCACTCTGCCTGGGGCCACAGCACCCAGTCCTGGGACCTGAGCCGATGACCCCACACTGTGCTTCTGTGTTCCTTGCAGAATGTCTCCTTCAGCCTGTCTCCAGGCAAGGTGACCGCCCTTGTGGGGCCCTCAGGCAGCGGGAAGAGCTCCTGCGTCAACATCCTGGAGAACTTCTACCCCCTGGAGGGGGGCCGCGTGCTGCTGGATGGCAAGCCCATCAGCGCCTACGACCACAAGTACTTGCACCGCGTGGTACGTGGATGGGCCCCCGCCACCCTCCTCTGCCATTTCTTTGTCTAACCTCCTTTCTCATGAGCTGTAGCAGCGAAGGGCACGAAAGATCGATATACTGGTCAGGCCTGGTGGCCCACACCTCTAAGTCCCGTGCTTTGGTATGCTGAGGGGGGAGAATCGCTTGAGGATAGAAGTTCGAGACCAGCCTGGGTAACACAATGAGACCCCCATCTCTACAAAAAATAAATATCTAGCCGGGCTCGGTGGCTCAGCCTGTAATCCCGTGCCTTTGGGAGGTGAGTGGATTGCCTGAGCCCGCGGGTTCGAGACCCACCTGGGCAACTTGGCGAGACCTCATCTCTACAATAAATCAAAAATTAGCCTGGCGTGATAGCATGCGCCTGTAGTTCCAGCTCCTTGGAAGGCTGAGGCGGAAGAATCGCCAGAGCCCAGCAGGTCGAGGCTGCGGTGACCGGGAGCGGCCACTGCACTCCAGTCTGGGCGACAGAGTGAGACTCCAACTCAAAAAAATTAAAAATAAATAAATAAATATTAGCCAGGTGTGGTGGCACCTATAGTCCCAGCTACTCAGGAGGCTGAGGTGGAAGGATCACCTGAGCCCAGGAGTTCAAGGCTGCAGGGAGCTATAATCACACCACTTCACTTCAGCCTGGCCAACAGAGTGAAACTCTGTCTCAAAAAAAAAAAAGATAAATGTAGAGTTTAAAGGATTGTCACCAATGTAACTCTATCTTGATCAAAAAATAGAACATTTTGGGCCGAATGTGGTGACTCAGGCCTATAATCCCAGTACTTTGGGAGGCCGAAACGAGAGGATTGCTTTAGCCCAGGGGTTCGAGACCAGCTTAGGCAACATGGTGAGACATTGTCTCTACAAAAAAATCAAGAAATTATCTGAGTATGGTGGCACATGCCTATAGTCCTAGGTACTTGGGAGCCAAGGCAGAAGGTTCACCTGAGCCCAGGGGGTTGAGGCTGCAGTGAATTGTAATCATGCCACTGCACTCCAGCCTGGGCGACAGAGTGAAGCCCTGCCTCAAGAAAAAAAAAAAAAAAGAAATAGAACATTCTGGAACTCCAGAGCCCCCATGTGTCCCTTCTCTTCTCCCTGGAAGTAATGTCTCTGTTGACTTTTTTTTTTTTTTTGAGTTGGATTCTCACTCTTGTCACCCAGGCTGGAGTACAGTGGCATGTTCATGGCCACTGCAGCCTTGACCTGCTGGGCTTAGACGATCCTTGTGCCTCAGCCTTCCAAGTAGCTGAAACTACAGACGCACGCCACCACGTCCGAAAACTACAGACGCACACCACCACGTCCGGCTAGTTTTTGTGATTTATTGTAGAGACGAGGTTTCACCAAGTTGCCTGAAGGCCCCGGGTTCAGTCAGTCCTCTCGCCTTGGCCTCCCAAAGTGCTGGGATTACAGCCTGAGGCACTGCTTGACTTTTACAGTCATATCCTTTTCATTCCTTTTACCAGTCCTGTGTGTGTCCCTAAACAGCATAGCTAGGTGGAACCATAAAAGAATGTAATTCTGTGTGTCTCTCTTCTCCTGCTCAGCATGGTTTGTGGGTCATCCAAGTCGAGGCTGTAGTCATGGTTCATTCATCTTCATTGCTGGATGAGAATCCACTGTGTATACCTATCACAATTGTCTGTGTGTTCTGCTCTCGATGGATATTTGGGTTGTTTTCCCATTTTTACCTTTACAAACCATACCGATGTGGGATGTGGACAGTTTTGTCCATGTTTCCTTGGGTACGAGGTCTGACAATTAGGGTCACAAGCCATCCTGGAGAAAGTGGTGCTACACACCTTCTTGTTGAATATCAGGCCAGTCACCTTCGAAGTCCTCCCCTTGGGAAGCCATACATCAATGCCAATGCCTTGTCCACCTGTCAAAGCTGTTTTGAAATGCTTTTTCTGGAATGGTTGTAGTTATTTGTTGAAGTCTGTCAATTAAGTTCACGAACTTGCCACCGTGCACTTATGTTGGCAACGCTGTACAAATGACTGTATTGGGACATCCTCCCTACTCACCTAATCTGGTCCCCAATGACTTTTTTCTTTATCTAAAGATAAAGGAAGTATTGAAAGGAAGACATTTGATGACATTCAGGACATCAAAGGGAATACAATGGTGGCTGTGATGGCTAGTCCAGAAAAGAGAGTTCCAAAATTGCTTTGACAGACGGACTAGGCAATGGCTTCCCAAGAGGAGTCCTTCCAAGGTAGCTGTCCTGATGATGTTCGGCAATGAGGTATGGAGCACTTTTTGTAGGACGAGTTTGTGAACTTAACTGTTGGACTTCATGCATGGGTATGTTCTCCTAAGGTCTGACTGCAAGTAAAAAAGCTTGGTGATAGCTGGTCCGCATTCCCAACTTCAGCAGTTTCTGCCACAGCTGTTATCTAAGGCGGCTGTGCGAATTTACGTATTACAATTGGCATCCCACCAGCAGTGCAGGAGAGTTCCAGCTGTTCTACATTAAGGTCATCTTCAGTAAGGTCATCTCCAGTACTCATCAGGGAAGGTATTTGTGACCCTACAGGCTTTGGTAATCATTTCAGAAAAGGAGCCTCAACGCCTGATCCTGTCCTGGCACGAGAACAGGGATGTCTTGGCTGGTTGTTGAGGCTTTACACTATACAACAAACACCAGCTATGAAGGGGGCATCATTTACATCATCAGTGATGAGAGTGTGAGGACTGGCAGAGATTCCAGTACTCCCGAACAAATTCTAGACGGAGGCAGAGGCCAAGGGTTGTGAAACCTGCCCATAACATATGTGTATAACTGAAGGAAGATGGCTGAGAAGTGGTGCTAAGGGTGTGGCTACCAGGGTGCTACCCACCAGAATTCTGCAGAGGGTCCTGGGCAGAGTTGTTCAGTCTCTGTAGTGGTTACTGCACTCCGATTCTCACTCACTGAACATGGTCAGTCCTGAACTGCTGCTAATTGAGGATTGTGTAGTGGAGGCTTATCACAGCCTTTTGCATTTTCCTGGTGACTAAAGATACCAGCACCTTTTCTTGTCTTTTTTTTTTTTTTTTGAGTTAGAGTCTCACTCCGTCTCCCAGGCTGGAGTGCAGTGGCACAGTCACGGCCACTCCAACATCGACCTGCTGGGCTCCAGCAATCCTTCCACCTCAGCCTTCTGCATAGCCAGAATTATAGATGTGCGCTATCACACCCAGCTAATTTTTTTTATTTTTTTAATTGTAGAGACGAGGTCTCACCAAGTTGCCCGGGCTGATCTTGAACCCGCAGGCTCAGGCAATCCACTCGCCTTGACCTCCCAAAGTGCTGGGATTACAAGCTGAGCCACCGAGCCTGGCAACCAGCACCTTTTCATGTATCCATTGGCCATTTGATTTTCCTCTTTTGTGAATACCCTCTCTTTTTTAATTTTAAATTTCAATTTCCATAAACACAAAACAGTAAAATGCTGCAATCTAACCATGTTCTTAGAGTTTAAATGAATTTTTTTTTTTGAGTTGGAGTATCACATGTCGCCCAGACTGGAGTGCAGTGGCCGCTCCCGGTCCCCGCAGCCTTGACCTGCTGGGCTCTGGCGATCCTTCTACCTCAGCCTTCCAAGTAGCTGGAACTACAGGCACGCACTACCACGCCCAGCTAATTTTTTCATTTATTGTAGAGATGAGATCTTGCCAAGTTGCCCAGGCGGATCTCAAACCCACGGGCTCAGGCAATCCACTCACCTCAGCCTCCCAAAGCGCAGGATTACAGGCTGAGCCACCGAGCCCAGCTTAATGAATTTTAAAACGGAAACATGAGCATTCCCCTGTCTCGCCTTTCAGACTCCACCCTATGGAGACAGTCAGCATTAGCAGGTTAGTAACTGTCCCTTGCAACCTGGCTCCTATCTTTTATAGAAACACACCAACACATAAAGACACGTGTACAGATTTTTTTTTTTTTTTTTTGGTCAGGGCCTTTCTCTGTTGCACTGGCCGGAATACAATGGCACCATCATGGCCACCACAGCCTTAAACTCCTGGGTTTAAACAATACTTCCTCCTCAGCTTCCCAAGTAGCTGGGACTTCAGGTGCACACCACCATACCTGGCTAATTTTTTAATTTTTGTAGAGACAAGATCTCCCTATATTGGCCAGTCTAGTCTGAAACTTCTGGGCTCAAGTAATCCTCTTGTCTCTGCCTCTCTAAGTGCTGAGTTTGCAAGCATGAGCCACTGTGCCCGTCTCGTTTATAATTTTTTTTTTTTAATTGGAGTCTCACTCTGTCACCCAGACTGGAGTACAGTGGCCTCTCCCGGCCACCTCACCCTCCACCTGCTGCACTCCGGCGATCCTTCCACCTCAGCCTTCCGAGTAGCCAGAATTACAGGCGCGCGCTACCACGCCCAGCTAATTTTTTATTTACTGTAGAGATGAGGTCTCGCCAAGTTGCCCAGGCGGGTCTCGAACCCACGGGCTCAGGCAATCCACTCACCTCAGCCTCCCAAGGCGTGGGATTACAGGCTGAGGACCAAGCCTGGCTTCATATATAATTTTTTAAAACAAAAATAGAATCATACTATATATATATATATATTTATCTACTGCAATTGATTTTATGGATGCACTATAATTATTTAACCAATCCCAATTTATAAACCACCAGATTGTTTCCATTTTAATTTTTTTTGCTTGAGTAGGAGTCTTACTCTGTTACTCAGGCTGAAGTGCAGTGGTATGAACATGGCTACCACAGCCTCGGCTTGCTGGGCTCAGGTGATCCTTCTGCCTCAGCCTTCCAAGTAGCTGGAACTATAGGTGTGCACCACCATGCCTGGCTAATTTTTTTTATTTATTGTAGAGACAAGTTCTCTCCAAGTTGCCCAGGCAGGTCTTGAACCCCTTTCACCTCGGCTTCCCAAAGTGCTGGGATTACAGGCGTGAGCCCCCACACCTAACTCCATTTTAATTTTATTTCTGCTATTTACAGTGTTGCAGCGATATCTTCCATCCTATTATTTTTGTAGGCCAGATTCCTGAAACTGGAATCTTGAGTGAACAGTTCCATTAAATCGTTCCCTCAGGGGGGAAGGGGCCACTGCCAGGGCAGTCTGTGTGGCCTGGGCCCTGCTGTGGTCTCTTGCTTCCTGATCGGCAGACTCATCCACAGAGCAACGTTCAGCGTTTTCTCACTCGCTCTCTTCCATTTTTCCAAGCAGGGGCATCCCACAAGCTTTCTCTAGGAGATCAGGGAACTTGGCTTAGTCCAGAGCAGCAAGCTTGGTGGGTCCAGTTTGTTGAGGGCTTGTGGGAACAGGCGGGACTCCAGCATCAGGGAAGGAGAGAGTTTAGCTTAGTGCAGCCACCAGGCCTTGATCTGGTTTCAAACCCAAGACGGCTGGCGTCACCGGGCCCCGGGCAGTGAGGCTGCTCATGACAGCTGGACGGACGCATTCCTGGCCTCTCATGCCTCAGCCTGTCTCCCCTAGATCTCCCTGGTGAGCCAGGAGCCCGTGCTGTTCGCCCGCTCCATCACAGACAACATCTCCTACGGCCTGCCCACCGTGCCCTTCGAGATGGTAGTGGAGGCTGCGCAGAAAGCCAATGCCCATGGCTTCATCATGGAGCTCCAGGACGGCTACAGCACAGGTACAGAGTCCAGCATCCTGTCCTGGGCCCACCAGACCCCCCAGGGACGCAACCCCCAAGTTCAGCATTACCTCCCGCCACCCGGTCTTCATTATGTCATTTTTCTTTTATTAACACAAAATTCCCATAACAGAAACAACCATGTTCAAGTGCACAATGCAGTGGCATTTAGTACATCCCCAAACAACCACCCCTCTGCTTAGTTTCAAAACATTTGTATCGCAAACTAATATAGGTTTATTGTATCAACCAGGTGTGGTGGCTCACACCTATAATCCCAGGATTTTGGGAAGCAGAGGCTAGAGGATTGCCTAAGCCCAGGGGTTCAAGACTAGCCTGGGCAAGTTGGCAAGACCTCACCTCTACAGTAAAAATCAAAAAAGTTGCTGGGTGTGGTGGCACGCACTTGTAGTTCCAGCTACTTGGAAGACTGAGGTGGAAGGATTGCCTGAACCCAGCAGGTCAAGGCTGTGGTGGCCGTGAGTATGCCATTGCACTCCAGCCTAGGTGGCAGAGTGAGACTCCTACTCAAAATAAATAAATAAAATAATATATGTTTATTATATCAATAATGATCAGAATCCCTTAATCCATATTAATAAATTAATGTTTTAAATTTAACAAATTAAGCAATATATTACTTTTTATATGCACGGGGTACCAAAAAATGTATACACATTTTTTTTTTGAGTTGGAGTCTCACTCTGTCGCCCAGGCTGGAGTGCAGTGGCACGCTCACAGCCATCGCAACCTTGACCTGCTGGATTCTGGCGATCCTTTCACCTTAGGCTTCCAAGTAGTTGGAACTACAGGCACGTGCCACCACGCTCAGCTAGCTTTTTTATTTATTGTAGATACGAGGTCTTGTTATGTTGCCCAGGCTGGTCTTGAACCCCTGGGCTCAGGTAATCCTCTCACCTCGGCCTCCCAAAGTGCTGGAATTACAGAAGTGAACCACCATGCCCAGCTTGAATATACATTTTAAGTATGATGTTCGCTCAAAAAATGACATTATCAAATGAATGCTAGCATCACCAGGCGACAGGACAAAGAAAATGGCAGAAGCACGGTTGACCAAATGTCATGCGTATACGTTGCTATCATAATTTTTTTTTGAGTTGGAGCCTGACTCTGTCACCCAGGCTGGAGTGCAGTGGCACATTCACGGCCACCAAGGCCTTAATCTGCTGGACTCAGGCGATCCTTCTGCTTCAGCCTTCCAAGTAGTTGGAACTACAGGCATGCACCACTACACCCAGATAATTTTTCTCTTTCTTTTTTTTTTTTTTTTTTTTGAGTTGTAGTCTCACTCTGTTGCCCAGACTGGAGTGCAGTGGCACGCTCCCGGCCACCGCAGCCTCGACCCGCTGGGCTCCGGCGATCCTTCCGCCTCAGCCTTCCAAGTAGCCGGAACTCAGGGTACGTCCACGCCTGGTTAGTTTTTGATTTATTGTAGGGATGAGGTCTCGCCAAGTTGCCCAGGCGGGTCTTGAACCCACAGGTTCAGGCAGTTCACTCACCTTGGCCTCCTAAAGCACTCGGATTACAGGCTGAGCCCCCGAGCCTGGCCCCAGGCTTCCTTTCAACTCAGCCTTCTGAGTTGCTGGGGCTATACACATGAACCACCACACCTAGCTGATTTTCTGATTTTTTTGTGGTGATGAGGTCTTGCTATGTTGCCTAGGCTGATCTTGAACTCCAGGACTCAAGGGATCCTCCAGCCTCAACCTCCCAAAGTGCTGAGATTATATGCATGAGCCACCACACCTGGGCTATTTAATTAGGGTATACAACATGATGTTTTGAAATATGTATCCATTGTGGAATGGCTACATCGAGACAATTAACACATATTGCCTTACACATTTATCATTTTTTTGTAGTGAGAACACCTAAAATCTATTCTCTTAGTGATTTTCAAATATCTAATATGTCGTCATTAACTACAGTCACTGTGTTGTACAACAGATCTCTTAAACTGATTCCTCCTACCTAGGTAAAATTTTTTATCCTTTGATCAACACCTCTCCAACCCCCCTATATGTGTGTGTGTGTGTGTGTGTGTGTGTGTGTGTGTGTGTGTGTGTGTGTGTGTG